CGGCCTTCTCACTGATGAACTATGGGAGTGAGGTAATAGGGTGCTCCCGGGACCTGTATAAAATCCTGTCTATAATATATTATGTTCTAGAAAATCGATATGTTTATTGGCACATACTTAATTGAATTGTCTTCCAGTAGAGGATTAAACCCAAAGCCGAAGTTCTGCGATGCCGTTCTTGGTATAAAATATTCACGTTCCGACAGTTTTAATGTCACTTTTCGAAACTTAGTAAAACTTGAAAAGCTGTTGAGCACCTGTAAACTATTTCCGTGCATTTATTTCTGGAACAAAAGATGTAATATGTGTTTTAATATATCTCTTGTTTATTTATTTGTTTAATCTTTATATACACCTTATACTGAGGAATATAAAGGGGGGACTTATTGCCTTATGGGCGGGGCTGTCTCTGCCAGTCAACCTGGTCTTTTAATATATCATATTAAAAATTTATTCGACTATACAACATACGAACAACATTGAGCCTCTTACGAATATGAATGAAACACTAGATTTTTTATTTATAACCCACAGTATTGAAAACTGTTATTTTTATTTTATTGATTTTATTTTTATTTTAGTGCTTCCTTTGAGGGAGGAGTACGTTCAGTAATGAACTTCTGAGAGGCTTTAATGATGATGATGATTATTCTCATTTTTATTTGAAATCGTAACACGGCATTTTATAGAAAAAACACCAAAGTTTCTTGCCGATTCTTCTCTGAGAAAGTCTTGCGATTGTTGACTTGAGTCGCTGTTGATTTTGATATTCATAATAGCAGTAAACATTTTGAAATAAGTTTAATTTGAATAAAAAGTTATGATTTAGACTATAATTTTCAATCAGATTTCTAGATTTTACAAAGACAGGCTTACGTACAGATTAATAAGATCTATGTACTATATTATTTCGTGGTACTACAACCAATTGTAATGTTTTAAAAGTATTGATGCTTTTACTTTACGTAAAGAAATCAGGAGATGGGCAGCAGCGTCTTCTTAATAACTTTTGAAAGTAAGGAGACTGTGGTTGCCAACCCGCTTGCCAAACATGGCAACTATGGGGCAATCTAAGTGGGAGTGGGAGGCCTATGTTCAGTAGTGGACTTAAATATGCCGTATACATTTATGAGTATTGATAAAAGTTGTAGCAAAAGTATCTACAAATGGCTTTCGAGATGTACACTATTGTAGATATAGTAATGTTTTGCAGAGTAACGATTTTCGAGAACCAACACCGAACTGCCACGGTGGCAGTAAACCATATCTATAAACTGTCGAATTTATATTTATGGGTTACTGCCACCGTCACAGGACGTCTTCGTCCTCAATAGGCGGAAAAGACCCCTGCCGCCCCACGCCCACAAATGGCTAACGACAAGGGTAAGACAAGGGTCCTCCAGGCATATCTTCACCATGCAGTGGCTGCTTCTGCCGTGGTGGAGGTTTGCTTTGCATAGGATGATATTGACCTCGCCCTCATACAAGAGCCTTGGGAGGCCAACGTTCGAGTTCTAGTATTGTCGGCTGCCGGTAAGATTCTTGTCAATACTAAAGGCAGTAGACCCAGAACTTGTATAATTTACAATAAAAATATTGAACATTTAGCTATTTCAGAGTACTGCAATGATGACCTAGGTACAGCCTTCATAAATCTCAAGGGATGCACAGGGGCTAGAGTAATCATTTGCTCAGCCTATCTTTCCGGATAGAACTCGGATCCTGCCATCGAGTTAGAGCGAGTGGTGGAGTTCACCCGGAAACGCAACGGTGAACTTGTGGTGGGTTGTGGTGCTAATGCTCACCACACAGCCTGCGGAAGCACTAAGGTCAACGAAAGAGGTTAGCTACTTTATGATTTTCTCATCTCTTACCGCCTGGTAAGCCTAAACTTAGGATATACACCAACCTTTATTACGCGTGCTAGGCAAGAAGTGTCAGACATAACCTTTGCTACTAATAATATATCCAGGTGGATAAATGACTGGCATGTTATTAGTGAAAACTCGATGTCTGATTACAAACACATTAAGTTTGTGATTGGAGCATCACCAACCTATGAAACCGTTGCTTTTAGGGATCCAAAAGTGACCTCCTGGGATATCTACAGAGATAGTTTAAGGAGGATTTTAGAAACGTATCCTAAAAGCTTCAAAACGATTGAAGGTCTGGAGTTAGCGACGGAGACAGTAACCGAAGGTATTCATGAAGTCTTCGAGGACAGTTGTCCCGTTAAAACCAAGACCTCAACACGAAAAGTTCCTTGGTAGAATACTAAGCTAAACGAACTTAAGGAAAAAACTAGAAAACTATTTAATAGGGCTAAGAAAACCAAGGAGCGGAATATATATAGTGCAGCCCTAACTGAATATAATAAAGAAACTAAAAAAAACCTGATTGTAACTCCACTAATAGTGAAACAAAAACATTGGAGTTTCTGCCCCCAACCCATTTCCCAGGGTCACACAAGACTTCAGCCTTAAATTTTTTAGGGCCCTACTGGAGAGGACTGGTGCAGGACTGCAAATATATAAGGCCAAACCTAGTGCAGTAAGCTGTTGACTCCTTTGAACCATTTAAAACAAGCAGGGAGGATGGCATAATTCCCATCCAACTACGGAGGGGTATCGACATCCTTCTTTTCTATCTGGTGAAAATATTTAGAGCAAGTTTTGGGATATATGTCAGAACGATGGACAATTGTCAAAGTTCTATTTATACCTAATATTGTTAGAAAAGACTACGCTTGACCAAAGTCCTTTAGACCTATAAGCCTATCTTCCTTTCTCCTTACGTCATTGGAAAAGATTATAGACAGATATATAAGGGATGTAGCTCTAGCTACGAGGCCCGTACATTACAACCAGCATTCTTACTGCAGAGGCAAATCTACGGGAACAGCCCTGATCAGTGTCATTGACAGGGTCGAAAAATCACTGGAGAATAAATAAATAGCTCTTTGTGCCTTTCTAGATATTGAGTGCGCCTTCGACAGTAGCCCCACATCATTGCTGATTGGGGGACTTACATCTAAATATGTTGACCCTACACCCATCAGATGGGTGAAGTCGATGCTCTCAAACAGAAAGGCAAATATAGCGTTGTTTCAAACTTTAATTGAGGTTGAAACTACAAGAGGCTGCTCACAAGTAGGTGTTTTGTTACTCCTTCTTTGGACTCTTGCGGTTGACCAACTATTGTACAAAATGGCGGACCTACACATTGACACGCTAGCTTATGCTGATGACCTTGTAATCATTGCGAGGGGCATTTGCCAAAGTACTTTATCGTCAATAATACAAAGAGCCCTAAACACATAAATAACAGTTTATCATTTAATGCTGATAAAACTGTTATAATATCCTTTATCAAAAAGAGACGGTTGAACAAATTAGTCCCACCAAAACTTAATGGTAAAAAAACCATTTCCACTGAAGTTAAGTACTTGGGCGTAACAATCAACCAAAAACAAACGTGGAACTTTCACCTTAGCAACGTATTCCAAACGTACGCCAACGTATGCAGAAATTTTCGCCATACTTCTGTGTGCGGAAATCAATCTGCAAAAACACTACGTCAACCATATAATTTATATAAACTCTGATAGTCAAGCAGCACTGCTAGCGCTGAGGTCAAACTTAGTGATCTCGAAGCTAGTTGGAGACTGCGTGAACCGCTTAAACGCCCTGGAATGTAACAACAGGGCCGTCTTACGATGGATTCCGGGTCACGCGGGTATTGTAGGCAACGAATTTGCAGACAAACTTGCACGGGAAGGCTCAAAGTGCAGACAATTTGGATCTGAGCCATTTTGTGGAATCTTAAGAAGCCTTGCCCGATTGACCTTTGAAACTCTTTATCACAATAAATCACTTAAGATCTGGTCTGACACACCAGGCTTAAAACATTCTAAAACCTTAATTCGGGCTTTTGATCGTAAATTCGCTTCAGAAGCCTTGGGATTAAGTAAAAATATATTGCGTATACTGGCAAGAGCTCTAACTGGACACTGTTGTCTTAAAAAGCACATGTCCAACCTGGGTCTAAGCAACAAGGTCTCATTGAAGACATAGGGCTTAGAAATAAACTATAGGCATAGCAGCGATCACAACATATCTTTTAGGTTGCAATGATACTGGTCTCTTTACCTAGAGTTGCATAGCTGCTCGCACATAATAATAAAAAATATATAATACTGTCACCGTGGCATTATTTTAATCAAGATAAAAATTTGTTCAGAACTTGAAACTAGCATAGCAAAGTATGACGAAAACTAAATTTTGCACGTTTACATTTTGAGAAACACTTTTCGTAGCTCTAAGCGTAGCGAACTGCTGAGAACTTTAAACTACGTGTAATTTTACTTTAAGATTAGTTAAATCCTTGTCAATTTTAAACCTTTAGGTCGAATATATAATTTAACGCACAAAATTTATGAATATAACACAATATGATTTTTTCAAACTATTTAAATATGAGATTGTTTATTAGGAGGCATTTAATAATGCCTTATTGAATATGAGTCGTACAAATTTATATTTTAATCAAAATAATCATAATATATTGTTGGTAACAAACTGTTCACTACGTTAACTGATATCGTACTTATGAAACGTCCGTATGCTATTGTTGCTAAGAGGTCCATAACACTAAATAAAACTCAAAAAAAAATTGCCAAATTTAACCTTTAACTACCGATCTATGCGTCTCACAGACGTAATAAATTTTCATTTTAAAATATTTCTAAAATCACGCCACCGTTAGCGCCGCCCTTCCCGCTACCTTCCTCCCTCCGCGTCACAAGCCATCAGTCAACGCTGCGCCGGCGGCGATTGCACACATCTCCGTATTGAAGCGATCGACGTCTCACAGACATAAGCACGGTGTTTATGTACTAAATTTCGTACGTCTCTTGGTCGTCACCTCGGTATTCATGTGTGGTAGCTTATAGTGTCTGATTGACGTCACATCGGCTTTAAAATTATACTTTTAATCGCAGAATGCCTAAAAGGAGAAACGTCACGTCTAGTGAGCAGAAAATACCTGCAAAAGATGACGGTTCAGTTCCCGAGAGGTCTCTGAAACTTCGAAAACAGAATAGGCCTTTAGAAGATAAAGAGATATGTGAAGATCTTACTAACGAGAGTGACGACAACTGTAGTGATTTTGACGACGATGTAGGCGATCCTGATTTTATTTTAGAGAGCGATCACAACACGGAATCTGAACAATCCGATGAGGATGATGTTGACGTCACGTATCCCCATGTTGAGGAAGTTTACCACGGATAAATCAACCATAATCACGACAATGAAGAACAGGAAAGAGAAGTACGAGCTCATGGAAGCCAGGACATTACAGAACAGATCGGAAAAGAGACAATAGTCGGAGAGAAACAGCATGGCGCAGCAGAGACTAGAATTGAAGAGATCGGAGAGGAGCAGTATAGCGAAGTAGAGACGCGAAATGACCAGGGTAGTGAAGATCTTAGAATAGACCAGGAGCCAAATGAAGAATCAACAGGAGAGCTGCCGCGCTATTTTTACGGGAAGAATAGGTACAAATGGGCATCGGCGGAACCATCCCGAACAAGTCGAGTACGCGTGCACAATATTGTCAATGCACCATCTCAAGTAAGTCCGTTTGAATTTGAATCTTTCACGGAATTATGGAAACTGATGTTTAGTGATCACATGATTGAAATGATAGTAACTTATACAAACAAGAAATTAGATAGCTATAGGGCTAAGTATAAAGACAGTAGCAGATCTGAACTAGGCTCAACGAATGAGACAGAAATGAAGGCTTTAATTGGGCTATTGTTTTATACATCAGTATTCCAATCAAATCACGAAAATTCAGACTTTATTTTTGCAACAGATGGCACAGGACGGGATATTTTTCGCTGCGTTATGTCCAAAAACAGATTTCTGGTCTTGTTAAACTGTTTGCGTTTTGATAATACTCAAACAAGATCTGAACGATTAAAAGACGATAAACTTGCCGCTATTTCAGAGTTATTTCATGAGTTCATCAGTAATTGCCAGAAAAATTACACTTTGGGTCCTTACATTTGTATAGATGAAATGCTTGTAGCTTTTAGAGGGCGCTGCAAATTTAGAATATATATGCCAAACAAGCCAAATAAATATGGATTAAAAGTTCTCCTGCTGGTTGACGCTCAACGTTTTTATATATACAATGCTTATGTATATTATGGCACAGGATCTGATGGCCATGGTCTAAATGATGCAGAGAAACGCTTTTCAATTCCCACACAATCTGTTCTACATCTTTGTAAAGGGATCGATGGCTGTAACCGAAATATAACAGCAGATAACTGGTTTACCTCGATAGAACTAGCAAGCACTGAAAGATCGTGGATTTACTTACTTGGGCACTATGAAGAAAAACAAGAGGGAAATCCCACCAGAATTTCAGCCTCACAAAGATAGAGTGGTTGGTGCTTCGTTATACGGATTCACCAAAGACAATACTATTCTGTCTTACGTGCCTAAGCCTAAAAAAAGCTGTATTACTGGTGTCGTCTATGCACCATATCAAAGAGACTGATTCTGCAACTAATAAGCCTATTATGATAATTGACTATAACAAGACGAAAGGAGGAGTGGATGAGGTGGATAAGAAATGCTCGAATTACTCGTGCTCTCGAAGAACTCGACGTTGGCCTATGACTTTGTTTTACAGGTTGATAGATATGAGCGGTGTTAATACGTATGTATAGTACAACAAGTGCACAAACAAGGGCGACATAAGTCGTGGCCGATTTTTACTCCTGCTGGCTCGTGAATTAGTACTCCCGGAAATGAAATTACGCGTCTACAATGAGAGGATCCCACGGGAATTGCGGCTAAGTATCGAGCGAGTTATTGGACCCGCCGATATGCCCGAGCCTCCACCACCAAAAACTTACCAGGATCCAGATTCAGGTGTTAGAAAAACATGTGCAATCTGTCCCAGTCGGTTGAAAAGGCGAACGAAGTACTGTTGCTGCAAATGCAAGAAACCAATGTGCCTTACTTGCTGCCTACAAATATGCATTGACTGCAAATGTACGTAGTGAATGTACCAAATATTCGAGGGCTGTCATTTTTTTTATTTTTTAACTAATAAGTAAGATTTATGTTTTATTTTGATAATAGTTTATAGAAGATAACATATTTTAAGTTAATTTGTTGTTAATTACTTAATTTTAGAGAAAAAGAAGACTGAAGTAAGTCCTTAAAATTTATTGCCAAATAATTGAGATCTCTCGAATAAATGTTGATTTTACCAGAAAAATAGCGTGAATTTTTTTTTATTCTGTAGTTTGTCACCTCAAACAACAATTTTTTTAAATGTGTAAAATAGAAAAATGTAGCATGAAAATACACATTTTATTCAAGTACTTAAAGTTTGACGTCTCTCAGTCGTCACGTCGGCGTAAGTGCTACGTTTAGACCAGGTCGGCAGCTAAAGGTTAAAGTCCTAGACATTATAGAAATAATAACGTATATAATAATTTTAAAGATGTATGTCAACGTAATATTTTTTGTGGATAATTTGTTAAATAGAACCATAAATAGAGAAAATGTAAAAATATAGGTAGCATTTTACTTTATAAGCGAAACCAACTCAAGAGTTTAGACGAATATCCCAGTAACGATTTATCGTTTAAAAATTATTATACATTCTTATCATGAAATATTTGATAATAGGAGCAGCTCGTATTTATATAATTACCATATTTGCCATGCTTTTCTGGCAAATTGGCGACTTCATTTTTTTGTAGGTTTAAATTGTTTATCAGGAAGATGCCACTACTCATCCCCTGTGTTAGTTTCCGTCTGTCGCCTCTTACGACACCCACGTTACGTACGTTTGTAGTGGATATTCTTACACCGTCACTACACTTTTAGGTTATTGTGATAGTACTATAGTGAACCATAAGTAATTATTTTAATGATTTCATTACTATTGAACTGTAATTACAGAAGTTATCCATAGAGAAAAGAAAACTCCTGTGCGAAAAATGTTAACAGAAGTTCTCTTTCATATCATTTATTATATCAGACGAGGCTGACATATATACACGAAGGTGATTTTAAATTAAGGACACTACATAAAACTCTCACATTTCACGTACGCGTCGTTGCTTACGCCGCCATTACTGCAGATGGCGATTTTTATGCGAACTATTAAAAACAAATGCATTTCGCCTACAAAGCTAAATTATGATGAGTTAAGATTACGCTATGATCTACAAAATCACTTTAATACATATGAAAACAAAACAAAAATTAAACATTTTCATTATTTAAATACATTTGCCTCAAGTGTCAATTTATTCATAATATTAAAAAAGCCTATCTAATGTCCGTTTTAATTAGGATTATAGAAGAGGGGGAGGATTATAGAAAACGAGCATGCAGCTCACCTGATGATGAGTGCCTATCGCCGCCCATGAGCAACTGCAACAACAGGGGAATCGCAGGTGCGTTGCCGGCCTTTTAAAAAAGATTATGCGCTTTTCTTGAGTCTTATCAGTGCGGAAAAATCTCTGGTGGAAGTCGATTTCACAAGAAAGTTGTCCGAGGAAGAAAACTTCTAGTAACTTGTACTGCTGCATTCACACTTTCAGGCAACCCATCTTAGCCCTCAGAGGTGACCACTCACCATCGACCTTATTTATTTGATATGTTCAAAGTCTGCCGTTGCTACCATCAGCTAGAGTGTAAGTTCGTTTGACACATAAATTTTATAAAAAAAGAAATGAATGAAACCCATGGTCTGCAGTGCTGCAACCAAATCAAAGTAACTTCGCTACCGAACTATCAATTATATTTTAGTTGGGTAAAATAGTTAAGTTGCCTAGAGATAAAATCTTTTCATGCTATGTCATAAAAATTTGGATACTGTTGGTAATATATATAATACTGTTGGTTAATGTTATGATCAGGCCGCATGCCCGTTTGCCCCCTCTCCTATAAAAAAAACGTTAATGTATGCACGCGCCAATGCGATCATGTATAAATATTGGTACTAATGGTACTTTACTCAAATGTACCACTTTACATAATACAAAAATAAATTTTAAAAAGTCGAGCATTTGAAGAAAGTATTTGATTATAAGAATATAGGTCATAAATTGCTAATGTACGAATTAAATAACAAGATTCAGACAGAAATATAAAACAAAGTTGCTTTTAAATTAACGACGTAACATAAAACTCTCTTCGACGAGTGTGCTTGCTGTTCCATTTATGTCTATGTTAGATTTTTATGAAACACGCATGTAGCAGTAATATTAAAGATATTACGCTACTTCTACACCTTCTTTATATATAAATTTTCATTTACTTAATCTCATTTTTTGTATATGATCTTGAATATCACCATCACCTCTGCAACCTTTTCAGTATTCTGAACAATTCATGTACCTCTGAGTACGGGAAATCTAAATTTCAATACCTTGGAGATTCTAAGAAGTGTTTTCACTGTTGCACAGGTTTTTTTTATATATAAGAGGGAGCAAACGTAATTGTAAAGCTATAGACGGTGTGCCAGCATGAAATACAGTCTCACTCTGCTGAGCACGTCAAGGTTTTAGAGGCTAATTTGGCCTTCTCTTCCAAATGACAAGGAAACTTAACGTCATTCGATATGTCAACGCCTAATCTGATAACAGCTGAGGCAAATAAGGGGAGTGCCTCAAAGCTGAGGAGATACAACAAAGGGTTCATTTTAGCGTTAAACGCGCAAAGTGTCTTCTGGGGGTTTAACTAGACTAAATTTGGTCAACCTCGAACCGAGACTGTATTCAAAAAAAGTCTCGACTTGCGCGGCCGATTTTTATCGCGTTTAATTTTAATTATTTTAATTCCCGACGTTTTAAATTAAAAAGCTAAAGGTACTATGGATTAACAATGACATCGGAATGTCATTCACCTCAATTCCCCGTGACCATGGGGGCTTAAAAGCACCTGAAACGTAAGGAATTAAAATTAATTAGAATTAAACGCCATAAAATCCGTAGGTTTAATCAAAAACAAAGAAAGCTAAACTTGATAATTTAAGGTATTTTTTCCATTTGAAATCATTTAAAATACTAAAAATTTAAACGTATTTTAAATGTAACTAAAGCTTGAGTAAATTATCTAGATAAATACTCGATAAGAACTTGCAAGACCAAGATTACATTTTGAATTGCGATTAAGAATAAATTCAAGAAAAGCTTAAAGCTTACTGCATATTGTGGACGTTTAAAACTTTAGGAAACTTTTTTGAATTTTGTGCTTTTTTCATAAGTAAGTAATTCACCTTTTTTCTTATTGTATAATTGCGTACCTAAATAAAGTATCTGGTCGAATTTCTTTTCAAAGAATTAGTGAGATATGAGCACATAATCCAACTGATGGTGAATGCATGCTGTGGCCCATAGACATCTACATTTATCCTCGATTTAAAATCAAAATGCAGATGCGTTGTCTCCCCTGAGGTCTAGATGTAATGTCCCATTTTAAATAATAAGGGTTTCTGGTATTCTACACTCACCACACGAAACACAGCAGCATTAAGCAGCTATTTTACGCTTGCATACGTGAGAGTGTGGTTCCATCCCGGTCGAGCCCAACTATTCGTACTTCAACCATAACATAGCTGCAGCGTGGCTCTACAACGTGTAATATTATAATTAAAGAAGAAATCTTGTCATGTGGCAGTCTCGTAACGGTCGTAGACGAAGTGATGTCCGGTACGAGTGTGTACTCTTGAAGGAATTCATATCGATTTCCCTTCTGAGCCGATTCTGCGTGCTATTTTCGAGAAAAATTCTTTTTAATATCCTTCAATATGAATCATTATCAATTATTTCGTACGCATGCTCCAACTTCGACTTCCTGCCTCTCGAACAAGCTGATTTACGAAAAGGTTTTAGTACCATACATCACATACATACTCTTCGACAAATTGTACAGAAAACCGAAGAGTACAATCTGCCACTTCGATTTGCAAATGTGGACTATGACAAAGCCTTTGATTCGGTCAAAACTTGGGCGGTGCTACAGACCCTTCAGCGGTGCAAGGTTGACCTATAACTAAGTAACTAACGTTATATCTCTTCATCGCTGCATTGGAAGATGTTTTCAAGCTACTGGACTGGAAAGAATACGGTATTAACCTCTCAATATGCACGCGTTCAGATCCGACAATGGCGATATTCCGTCAAATTCCAAGTGGTCGGATCAGACCACAGCCACCCACAGCACTTTAATACCATAAAAAGTTGTATTTTGAGACTACTTGTCTATGAAGAAGTTTGACATTATAGGCTCAATGTGAAATTTCCTATCATCTAATGCAATAAAACGTAGTTAGTCTATGGTGTTTTATTTATAATCTACGTTAATTTCGTACGCCTATTTCATGTGGCGTGTTATTGTGTTGATTATTGGGTTTTTCTAATGTTTTATTAGTGTTTAGTATAGTATTTTACTACAAAATTGTTATAATGATTTCTTAAATTTGCGCGTACACTACCATTGACATTCCGATCAAAAAATCATAAAAAAAAATTTATAACTTATATTGATATATTATTATTATTATTATTATTATTACATTGAATAAAACTGTTATTTACGCTAAAAATTTTATCGACGTTACGGGTGCTTTACAGCACCCGTGGTTACGGGGGGACTGAGATCCCAATGTCATAGTTAATCCGGCTACCTTCAGCTTTTTAATATTAATTTTTGGTCCGATTTACGCAAAATGAGCTTATAGTATCATGAAGTCTTGCAGTGGTATGCTTGGGTTTGGATTTAATTTTGCAAATTATAGGATCCCAAGCAGCTGGCAGCACTCATCCATCTTCTCTATTGAATTTTGGATGTTTTTTAATTTCAATAGCCTCGCGTATCATCCTTGGTAGGAATCGGTGTTCTATTGCGAGGATTTGTTTTTGGTTTATCAAATCTAATGTAATGGTGGGGACGATCTTGAACATGTTCGCAGACTGCAGACTTCCCGCAGCGTTGGTGCTTCACGTCAGCTATATGTTCTTTCACGCGGGTTTTAATA